AGTTGTGCAGATCACTAACTTGGAACAGTCTGCAAACATGTTTCAAACTGAGCACTTTGGTTCCCCTGCATCACTTTGAAACTCAGTGTTTGATACTCATGGTACCTGTCTCTGTGGATAGAGTCTGTAAACTGGACATTATGTTGTTTGTCGTCCTTATTGTTGTTCTGTTGTTTCTATGTTACATGTGTAACTAATGTCCTGCAGGTCACCTTGAAGAAGAGATCTGTTGATCTCAAGGGGCTTCACCTGGTTAAATAAAGGCTACAAACAAACACTAAAGACACGCTAAAGACACACTGAAGACACGCTAAAGACACGCTAAAGACACGCTAAAGACACGCTAAAGACATGCTAAAGACACGCTAAAGACACGCAAAAGACACGCTAAAGACACGCTAAAGACACGCTGAAGACACGCTAAAGACACGCTAAAGACACGCTAAAGACACGCTAAAGACACGCTGAAGACACGCTGAAGACACGCTAAAGACACGCTGAAGACACGCTGAAGACACGCTAAAGATACGCTAAAGACACGCTGAAGACACGCTAAAGACATGCTAAAGACACGCTAAAGACACGCAAAAGACACGCTAAAGACACGCTAAAGACACGCTGAAGACACGCTAAAGACACGCTAAAGACACGCAAAAGACACGCTAAAGACACGCTAAAGACACGCTAAAGACACGCTGAAGACACGCTGAAGACACGCTGAAGACACGCTAAAGACACACTAAAGACACACTAAAGACACGCTAAAGACACGCTGAAGACACGCTAAAGACACGCTAAAGACACGCTAAAGACACACTGAAGACACACTGAAGACACACTGAAGACACACTGAAGACACGCTAAAGACACGCTAAAGACACGCTAAAGACACGCTAAAGACACGCTAAAGACACGCTGAAGACACGCTAAAGACACGCTAAAGACACGCTAAAGACACGCTAAAGACACGCTAAAGACACACTGAAGACACACTGAAGACACGCTAAAGACACGCTAAAGACACGCTAAAGACACGCTAAAGACACGCTAAAGACACGCTAAAGACACGCTGAAGACACGCTAAAGACACGCTGAAGACACGCTAAAGACACGCTAAAGACACGCTAAAGACACGCTAAAGACACGCTGAAGACACGCTAAAGACACGCTAAAGACACGCTGAAGACACAAAAGACACGCTAAAGACACGCTGAAGACACGCTAAAGACACGCTGAAGACACACTGAAGACACGCTAAAGACACGCTAAAGACACACTGAAGACACACTAAAGACACACTAAAGACACGCTAAAGACACGCTAAAGACACACTGAAGACACGCTAAAGACACGCTAAAGACACGCTAAAGACATGCTAAAGACACGCTAAAGACACGCTAAAGACACGCTAAAGACACGCAAAAGACACGCTAAAGACACGCTAAAGACACGCTAAAGACACGCTGAAGACACGCTGAAGACACGCTAAAGACACGCTAAAGACACGCAAAAGACACGCTAAAGACACGCTAAAGACACGCTGAAGACACGCTAAAGACACGCTAAAGACACGCTAAAGACACGCTAAAGACACGCTAAAGACACGCTAAAGACACGCTAAAGACACGCTAAAGACACGCTAAAGACACGCTGAAGACACGCTAAAGACACGCTAAAGACACGCTAAAGACACGCAAAAGACACGCTAAAGACACGCTAAAGACACGCTAAAGACACGCTAAAGACACGCTAAAGACACGCTAAAGACACGCTAAAGACACGCTGAAGACACACTGAAGACACGCTAAAGACACGCTAAAGACACGCACAAGACACGCTAAAGACACGCTGAAGACACGCTAAAGACACGCTAAAGACACGCTAAAGACACACTAAAGACACACAAAAGACACGCTAAAGACACGCACAAGACACGCTAAAGACACGCTGAAGACACGCTAAAGACACGCTAAAGACACGCTAAAGACACACTAAAGACACGCTAAAGACACGCTAAAGACACACTGAAGACACACTAAAGACACGCTAAAGACACGCTAAAGACACACTGAAGACACACTAAAGACACGCTAAAGACACACTGAAGACACGCTAAAGACACGCTAAAGACACGCTAAAGACACGCTAAAGACACGCTAAAGACACACTAAAGACACACTAAAGACACACTGAAGACACACTAAAGACATGCTAAAGACACGCTAAAGACACGCTAAAGACACACTGAAGACACGCTAAAGACACGCTAAAGACACGCTAAAGACACACTAAAGACACGCTAAAGACACGCTAAAGACACACTGAAGACACACTAAAGACACGCTAAAGACACGCTAAAGACACGCTAAAGACACACTAAAGACACGCTAAAGACACGCTAAAGACACACTAAAGACACGCTAAAGACACACTAAAGACACGCTAAAGACACACTAAAGACACGCTAAAGACACGCTAAAGACACGCTAAAGACACACTAAAGACACACTAAAGACACACTGAAGACACACTAAAGACACACTTCCTACAGACCCTCTGAGAGGTCGGGATCACAAGGACTTGGTACGGTCCGGGGATCTGAAGACACGTCCCGGACCTCGGACCGTACCAACTACCAACACCTGCTATTCATCACCTCTGTTAGAGGAGAGATATTAAACAAGACACACACACACACACACACACACACACACACACACACACACACACACACACACACACACACACACACACACACGTTAAACAGAAGAATCAGCTGATGATTATCTGAGCAGCGAACCAGAACACAGACTGATGGAAAAACAGAAACAATAATCACTTACTCTGTGTTTGGATTAACGGTGTGTGTGTGTGTGTGTGTGTGTGTGTGTGTGTGTGTGTGTGTGTGTGTGTGTGTGTGTGTGTGTGTGTGTGTGTGTGTGTGTGTGTGTGTGTGTGTGTGTGTGTGTGTTTGTACCTTGGGCAGTCTTTCTGGGTCTCCAGGGTGACGGGGGATGACCTTTTGTAATCTCTGGAAGCCGTAGTCGATGGTCGGCTCGTTCAGAGCTGCAGGAGTCACATGATCAGCTCGTTAACATCATCCAATTAACATCGTTCATTCATCAGCTGGACAATAACAGAAGGAGATGCTGTGATTGGTCAATAACAGACAGAATGAAATGCTCTCATTGGTTCTTACTTCAAAATAAAACGTGATGATTAACTTGAATGTATGCATCAGTCAGTGTGTCTGCTCTCTGATTGGTCGACTCTCCTCCAACATCATTTACACTTTAAACCGGAGCTGATAAATCAGAACGTCAGTGAACGCACCGGAGCAGGGCCCGCCCAAGTGTGTGTGTATGTGTGTGTGTGACTGTGTGTGAAGTGCATGAATCATAATCCCGTCTTGGTTCAGCTGCATTTAACAAGCTTTAGACTGACTCTGCTATACATCGCAAACAGTGTGTGTGTATGTGTGTGTGTGAGTGTGTGTGTGTGAGAGGGGTGTGTGTGTGAGTTTGTGTGTGTGTTCAGTCCTTGAAGGCTCACAGGGCGTAACAAGCAGCATTTATAAGAGTGTGTTAGCTCTCCAGATGTCTATGTTATCTGCAGCCTGTTGTGTGTGTGTGTGTGTGTGTGTGTGTGTGTGTGTGTGTGTGTGTGTGTGTGTGTGTGACCTTGTGTTGTTGACGTGTTATTATCAGTGTGTGTGTCTGTTTAACCTGCCGCCTGTCTGTCTTCTCTCTTGTTAACGTACTTTATGGATCACACCTGAACTCACCGTCTCTCATCACACACTGACTTTAACACACTATAATAAACTTTATATTAATATTATATCATATATATTATGTTATATAAATGTACACACACACACTCCGCTGATCAAAGTACAGATTTAGGAAGTCCTCAGGTGTGAGAGACAGGAAGTGAGGAAAAGGAAGTGAGGAAAAGGAAGTGAGGAACAGGAAGTCCTCAGGTGTGTGTACCTGTGTAGACGAAGCGTCCCGGCGCTCCCTTGCAGAACTGTTTGGACTTGTAGGACAGCGTGACCTCCACGACCCCTGGGATGTGGCGGGGGGGCGTCTGTACCCGGATAGCATGGGGGGTGATGAGCTGGGGGGGGGGGGGGGGGGGGGTCATGTGATTGGAGTTTATTAACCCTCTAATCTCCTCCAGGAGAGAGGGAACCGCTTCATCCCCTGACTGCATCACTATCGTGCTAACGCTATCGTGCTAACGCTATCGTGCTAACGCTACCGTGCTATCTTTATTTTATTTATTCAACAGGGAAAGAAACACATTTCATTTTAAACAAGGAAACACAATCAAATAAAAACATGCAACATACAGGACTGGAATACTTAGACTAAAACATGAACTCTGCTCTCTGATTGGAGGATTGATTCCTTTGTTCAGCAGCTTTCACAGGAAATAAAGACTGACTGAAGGAACGTTGTGAGGGGAATAATCTGCTCTCGCTGCACCTCACGTTATCCGAGTTCCAGTTGTGCGTATGTTAATAAACTATCCGAGAGGAGGTGAGGCGAGCATTTGCATGTTTCATTTAACAGCTTGTATTTTGGAGTATTGGCAGAATGTGAATAAACAGATTTTTTGTTTGTACAATGACTCCAGTGGTTTTAATGTTGTTGTACTGGCACGTGACCAGGTCGTCAACAGTAGGTGATGTGTGAGCAGGGGCGGATCTACCGGGTGGCATGGGGTGGCAGCCTTGACACCCCATGCCACCCCAGTTGACATCTTTGTTTTGAAAGAAAAGTTGTGGCTCATCGGACATTTATGAGAGAAAATATCGAATGTCCGAGTGCAAGTGAATGCAGCACAAGACGAGAGTCTTGTAACCCCTCCCCCGGCCCTGGCGCGAGCTTGGAAATAATATGATTGGCGGCGATTTCATTTGAACCGGACGGACCGGACGGACCGGACGGCGCATAACGAGAACCATTCGGACCCAAGTAGACGGAAGGAATGAGGTATTTGCGGTCTACAATGACAGAGAAGAGACTGTCAAGTTTGGCTGTACTCAGCATAGATATATATACACACTAGATGACTCTCCCGCGCTGCTGGCCAATGGAGACCGACGTTGCCACATGGCGGCCATCTTGCCACAGGCAGCTCGCTCACTCATAACATTATGTCTACGGTGCTCTATTGAAATTGCCGTAGATTGCTCAATTTTCAACCAATTTTCAAACGGTTTGGTTTGTTATAAACATCAAAGATGTAGTTATGATACTGCATACTTATAATTATAATCATTAACTTTTTTTTTCAACATGTCTTGTTGTCTCCTGTATCATAGCCATGCTAATAACGTTTATAATAAACCAAACCGTTTGTAAATTAGTCAAGATTTCAGCGAGTTGAGAGCATTTCTGTGCAGATCCCTCACCTCACAACAGCTGTAGCAGTAGCTGTTGACTGTGGCAAGATGGTGAGCTACGCTGGCGACTCCCCCTTCAGCCATCTAGTGTTTATATATATCTATGGCACTCAGCATTGAATCAAAACGCACTAAAACTTTAGATCTTAATCAGTTTGTGAGGCGTTTTGCTGAACAAGATGGAAATCGCCGCAGTCAGCTGTAATAGGCAACTTGATGCTCTGCTCACGGGTGAGCATAACAAACTGTTAAGATGATGACCTAACGTGTGTAAATATATGTTTTTCTTTGTGGGGGTCTGCCCCCAAAAAACAGTTTCAAGTCCTGAGAAAGTCAAATCAGACGATGTGTAAAACTTCACTGCCCAGCCAACAGAAAGTAACCACTTTGATTTAGCTAGGCCAGCAGGTAAGGACCTTCCACTGGATCATAGCTGCAGCGATGTTTATGTTTTAGCTGAATACACGTTTTTTAACCCTAACTGATGGAGTTAGTCACTTCTTTAATGTTTGTTCTTTCTGATGTAAAGTCCAGGTTGTAACTGTTTGCAATGAAGTCGTGGGGCGCTGAACTTGTTACGATTATTGTGTTATGTCACGTTTTCTATGTCTGTTTTGGGTGTTTTGCTGTTCTCCCTGTCATGTTTTCCTCTTGTTATATTGTCTGGTCCTTTTCCCTGTGTTTTTCCTCCCGTCGTTAGTTTCCCTGGTGTGTCTAGTGTCTGATTGTTTTCACCTGTGGCCCTTGTGCTTCTCCTCCCCTGCCCGGCTGTGTCTCGTCTTGTGATTACCCCTCCCTATATTTAGTCTTGTCTCTTTCTGTGTTCAGTGTCGGTTCGTCTTGTGTCATGACTAGTTCGTCGGTGAGGTTCTGTTTTGTCTTTGTTATCACCTAGCCTTGAAATAAAGGAATTTTCACTTTAATCTGCATTTGGGTCCTGCCTGCTTCACACACCGTAACAGAACTGTTCCTTTGAATCCTTTGAATTTTGATATATGATATAATTACTTGTCTTTCAAATTTGAAGGAGGGTGAGCAAGCATCTTGAGGAACATTCATCATTATCTCCTCCAAAAAATATAGTTTATTCAATAATAAATGAATATGTGAATCATAACAGTGATTGACAGCTGATAGGAATAATATGATTGTTAATAGTTTCATATTCATTCAGACAAACATCGATGAGACAGTTAATTCATGTACTTATTGCAGCAGTCTGCATACATTTGGTTCCCCTGCTGGTCTAAGAGTGAAACAAACTCATTCAGTTATTGTTCAGTTAAAATTCATTAAATGAAGTTTGCCACCTTATATATTTATATTTAAGGCTTTACTGCTGAGCCACAATAATGTCACCTAATGTTATTGAGTTAAAATATCAATATTGTGGCTTTCCAAGTTAACATTGATTGATATGACTGCGATTAAATCAGCATATACTTCTGCCAGGGGATGCCACCCCTCAACATCTCCTGCCACCCTCTGGCCACCCCATGAATATTTGTCTAGATCCACCCCTGAGTGTGAGAGAGCCATAGAGTGTGTTCATCAGAGATGCCTCACATGACATGTAATCTCTGGTGAACCTAACATTCAACAGACCCTATTACATATTTTTTTAACCTGAGCCTTGAAATTGAGTGTTGAATCAATCATGACTCCAAGGTACTTGTATTGTGACCCCACCTGTAGCCTCTCCCCTGATATGAAAACTTCTGGCTCAACACAAGAGGACTTTGTTTCGCTGAAGAAGATGCGTAGTGTTTTACAAACAGCATTGTTCCAACCAAGCTGTTCCATGAGCTGTGGCGTTTGTCAGGTCATTAGCCACTTGTGTCAGATTGCTTCCATGTACATATATAACAGCAAAATCTGCACACATTTGGATGTTTGTGTCAGGACATACAGATGGTAAATCATTGATATAAAGCGAAAATAGTAATGGTCCCAGGATTGAACCTTGTGGGACCCCTCTCGAAAGACGAAGGTCAGCAGATTCATAATTTTGAACTCTCACATACTGAGATCGGTTAAACAAATACGATTCTAACCATCTAAGTGTTTGTGAAGAAAAGTTAAAACTGGAAAGCTTAGATATGAGTATTTTATGATTAAGTGTCAAAAGCCTTTTTTAGGTCAAGAAACACAGCTCCTACAACAACACCTTCATCCATTTGGGATTTGATTTGTTCTGTGAAAAAACAGTTGGCGGTCTCTGTTGAGTATTTTGCCCTAAAGCCAAATTGCATTGGATGCATAGAAAATGTACTAGTATTTAAATGGTCAATGATTTGCTCAGACACAAGTTTCTCAGCAACCTTTGACACTGTAGGAAGGATGCTAATTGGCCTGTAGTTACAGGAAGACATGGGGTCTCTACTTTTAAATATTGGGATATCCATAGCCGGCTTCCAAACACTTGGACATATTCCCTGACGGAAGGAGAGGTTCATCCTTTTGGCAATAGGATAATAAAGTGTAACCATGTCCATGCCAAATATATCGTGTTAAAGCTATTGTGCTAACGCCATCCTGCTAACCAGTGGCGGTTCTAGACCAATTTGACTGGGGGGCCAGGCTGGACCAGGCTGGGGTCAGGCTGGGGCCAGGCTTGGGGCCAGGCTGGGGCCCAATAAATGCAGGACGATAAAGACAAAGACAGTATGAAGTAATTGCGCATAAGAAAACAATGCAATACAGTTATTTGTATTTGTGTCAGTACACATATTTATTTAAAATACTTATAGTTACAGTTTTTACGCTCTAATGCAGGGGTCCTCTTTTAGGACGAGAGCTACTTTAAAAAAATAAAACAAGTCGTGAGTCGTACTTTTACTCCCCTTTTTTAGTTTTTTGCAGTGTATATATTTAGCACATTTTATTATATAATTACCTTTAACCTTTGTGTGCTGTTTGGGGACCCGTTTTCAGTGTTTACTAAATAAAGTGTATGCAATCTATTTATTTTAACCTGCTTTATTTGGGGGTGGAATACATTTTTGTTTAATGTTGAAGTTAAATGCATCAATCTGGTGCACTTTGAGCACAAAATGAATTTATCGATACAGCTCTCAACACTCAGATGAAAGAGAGCTGTATACCTTTCAATAAACACATCTTTAGAATATAACAAATCATTTAAAACTTGTTTATCCTTATCTTATGTTACCTATAGTTAGCATTATTTATTTTTATTTATGCATATTTTACTAATCACTCCCCTTTTAAACTGTTGCAAGAACGTGATTTGTCGATATGCATTGTGGGGGTGGGGGAGGAGGGGTGATAGATAGATATAGAGTTGTAGTAAGTAGAAAGAGTTCGCTATGATTGAGGTTTTGTTTATGCATAGGGTAGATTCTTCGAATTATATTTCCTTTTTTTGTGTGTATTTTTTACACTTTGGATTTGCTTGGCGAACTACTTATTGAGGGCTTGCGAGCTACCGGTAGCTCGTGATCGACGTGTTGGAGACCGCTGCTCTAATGGATCAGACTAGAATGACAAATAGCGTTAGTTACGCCTATTCCGTCAGCCAAGAAATCATTTAATCATAATGTTTTTTTTTTCATTTTCATTTTTCAGGGGGGCCACAGGGGGGTCCAAAGTCAGTGTTAGGTGGGCACTGCCTCCCCCCCCCTAGAACCGCCCCTGGTGCTAACAGTAGCATGCTATCATGCTAACGTACTGTGGTGGGAATTTCTATATGAAATGTGGATAGAGAATCAAACCGTTCAGCTGTCTTTGTCGTATTTAATTTCTTGCAAGAAAGTTCAGTCACACAGAGAGCAAACAGTCTGCAGAGAGAAAGAGTTTGGGTTGAGAAACACTGGTCTCCACACCAGCATGCTAAGCTAACGTGCTACCGTACCTCGCTCCACACCAGCATGGTGCCGAACACCACCTGCAGCCCGTCGAAGAAGTTGTCCCCGATCAGAATCACCGTGGCTCCTCCCGTCGTCCAGCCTTCCGACGGGCTGATCGCCTTAATGCAGGGGGTGGCTGCTGGGGGGGGGGAGGGGGCATGTCAGAGGGGGGGGGGCAGGAGAGGGGAGAAGGGTAAATATAAACGTTAGCGTCCTGTTCTCTGTAACCTCTGAGGACCCTCAATATACTGAGAGTGAAGCTGACTAGAAGAGCAAATATCTTCAACAAGAGTCCTGGGAAACACACACACACTGCGACACACAGACACACACATACACACACAGACACACAGACACACAGACACACACACACTGTGACACACACACACACTGCGACACACAGACACACACATACACACACACACACACAGACACACAGACACACACACACTGTGACACACACACACACTGCGACACACAGACACACACAGACACACACACACACACACACACACACAGACACACACTGCGACACACACTGTGACACACACACACACACACACACACACACACACACTGCGACACACACTGTGACACACACACACACACACACCCACACACACACACACCACACACACACACACACACACACACTACACACACACACACACACACACACACACACACACACACACACACACACACACACACACACACACACACAAACCAGTAATGAGTACTTGCTCTTCTTTCAAGTGTGGCTGCAGATTAATTATAAAGTGAAATGAAAGCTGTGTGTGTGTGTGTGTGTGTGTGTGTTGCAGGGTGTGTGTGTGTGTGTGTGTGTGTGTGAGCAGCTAATCTCATCATGAAGACTTTAGATGACATTACAGTACCTGACCTCTGATGGATTAAAGAGAGTCTTTTTTCTAACAGAGGAGGAGGAAGAGGAAGAGGAGGAGGTTGTTTATTTACTTCTAGAGAGAGCAACGTTCAAATGCAGGTGTTTTTAGGAAGAAGCCCACTTGTATATACAGGTGTACAGGTATAAGCCCCTCCTACCTTCAGACGGGTCCAGCCTCCGGGCGCGGCGGCCATGTTTGGAGTTGTTGTGAACGAACATGTTGTCGGAGACGGCGAGGACATGTCCGTCAACATTCACCGTGGTAGAGACAACCACCTGAAACACAAACACTTTGTTTACACCACAAACACTTTGTTTACACCACAAACACTTTGTTTACACCTCAAACACAAACACTTTGTTTACAACAGGGGCCTGTTCTACGAAGCTGGTTCAACCTAACCTGGATGTGTTTGAGTTAGCCGGTTGGCCTAATCCAAAACATACGCGCTCTCGCTAAGCGGTCCTACGACGCGGGTTATCAAGTGGATCGCTCAAGCCAGCCGTGTCCTATCTAGTTAGGTGTTCACATGAGAGGGGTGGTATCTGGAGCATTCGACCAATCACAGACATGGAGAAGCGCACTGACAGCGCAGCGTCATACTTCCTGAATGAAAAGTCAACTATAATATTAAACATATGAAGAAGTTAAACTTTAAACATCCATGACTTAAACACTTGATCCAGGATCAAAGCCACAGACCTGCACCTGCAAGGTGAATACAGCTGGGAACAGAACAAGTGTTTGAATGCGTACATGAACAGCTTTATGATATCACTGCCCGTCTAAGACACCATCTGACTTTCATTACATTTGACTCCAGTGTTTCCTCAACTTAATGTGTTGCTTCAAATAATCCTTCTGCATCCAGTCTGTGACGCTGTGAGTGTTGCACGGCCAGATACGGCTCAGCTGACTCAGATCAGGAGATATGTGATACATTATGAAGTGATATGCCGCGGACTGTACTTAATGTGACTCTGATCCGGTTACTTATGTTGTGGCAGATGTTTCAGTAAGCTTTCTTAACGCTAATGTTATAATAGTCAGATTGCTCTGAAGATGGAGCTGATATTCTATTCATGTTCACGTTCACACAGTCGCTGATTTTTGCCGGCCGTCTTTCCTGCAACGGCAGCTTTTCTGTATTTCCTTTCTCCTGTAATATGACTTGATTGCTTTAAACTCACACACTGAGCTCTGATTGGTCAGCAGGCGGTGCTTTCACTGAGTTGAGCTCTTAGCCTGCAACCTAACCTGGTCCCGACCAGGTTAGCCGCTCAGCATCAGTTACCATTGAGATCTAGCCCGCTAAAATGAGAACCAGCGTCGTAGCCGGAAACCCTGAGTTACCCTGAAGTTAGCCGCTAAGAGAACATCCTGCTTCGTAGTACAGGCCTCTGAAACACAAACACTTTGTTTACACCTGACACCGGCAGTGGCTCAGTCAGTAGGGACTGGGAGCCGTAGGCTTGCCGGTTCAAGTCCCCGACCAGACCTCAATACGGAGTGTGGACTGCTACTTGGAGAGGTCACAGTTCACCTCCTGCACTGCCGTGGTGCCCTTGAGCAAGGCACCGGATACCCCCCACTCCCACTGCTACCTGGGCACTGTGCAATAGCTGCCCTCTGCTCCTGGTTCTAGACTCCTGGTGCTAGACTCCTGGTTCTAGACTCCTGGTGCTAGACTCCTGGCGCCAGACTCCTGGTTCTAGACTCCTGGTGCTAGACTCCTGGTGCTAGACTCCTGAAGCCAGACTCCTGGTACTAGTCTCCTGGTACTAGACTCCTCGTACTAGACTCCTGGTACTAGTCTCCTGGTACTAGACTCCTGGTCCTAGACTCCTGGTACTAGACTCCTGGTTCTAGTCTCCTGGTGCTAGACTCCTGGTGCTAGACTCCTGGTACTAGACTCCTCGTACTAGACTCCTGGTACTAGACTCCTGGTGCTAGACTCCTGGTGCTAGACTCCTGGTCCTAGACTCCTGGTACTAGACTCCTGGTTCTAGACTCCTGGTGCTAGACTCCTGGTACTAGACTCCTGGTACTAGACTCCTGGTACTAGACTCCTGTTTCTAGACTCCTGGTTCTAGACTCCTGGCGCCAGACTCCTGGTTCTAGACTCCTGGTACTAGACTCCTCGTACTAGACTCCTGGTACTAGTCTCCTGGTACTAGACTCCTGGTCCTAGACTCCTGGTACTAGACTCCTGGTTCTAGTCTCCTGGTGCTAGACTCCTGGTGCTAGACTCCTGGTACTAGACTCCTCGTACTAGACTCCTGGTGCTAGACTCCTGGTGCTAGACTCCTGGTGCTAGACTCCTGGTCCTAGACTCCTGGTACTAGACTCCTGGTTCTAGTCTCCTGGTGCTAGACTCCTGGTTCTAGACTCCTGGTACTAGACTCCTGGTACTAGACTCCTGTTTCTAGACTCCTGGTTCTAGACTCCTGGCGCCAGACTCCTGGTTCTAGACTCCTGGTACTAGACTCCTCGTACTAGACTCCTGGTACTAGACTCCTGGTTCTAGACTCCTGGTCCTAGACTCCTGGTTCTAGTCTCCTGGTGCTAGACTCCTGGTACTAGACTCCTCGTACTAGACTCCTGGTACTAGACTCCTGGTACTAGACTCCTGGTTCTAGACTCTTGGTCCTAGACTCCTGGTACTAGACTCCTGGTGCTAGTCTCCTGGTGCTAGACTCCTGGTGCTAGACTCCTGGTACTAGACTCCTGTTTCTAGACTCCTGGTTCTCGACTCCTGGTGCTAGACTCCTGGTTCTAGTCTCCTGTTTCTAGTCTCCTGGGTCTAGTCTCCTGGTGCTAGACTCCTGGTGCTAGACTCCTGGTGCTAGACTCCTGGTTCTCGACTCCTGGTACTATACTCCTGGTTCTAGACTCCTGGTTCTAGACTCATGGTGCTAGTCTCCTGTTTTTAGACTCCTCTTTCTAGTCTCCTGGTTCTAGACTCCTGGTGCTAGACTCCTGGTACTAGACTCCTGTTTCTAGACTCCTGGTACTAGACTCCCGGTACTAGACTCCTGGTACTAGACTCCTGGTGCTAGACTCCTGGTTCTAGACTCCCGGGACTAGACTCCCGGTACTAGACTCCTGTTTCTAGACTCCTGGTTCTAGACTCCTGGTTCTAGACTCCTGGTGCTAGACTCCTGGTGCTAGACTCCTGGTGCTAGACTCCTGGTACTAGACTCCTGGTTCTAGTCTCCTGGTGCTAGACTCCTGGTACTAGACTCCTGTTTCTAGACTCCTGGTTCTAGACTCCTGGTACTAGACTCCTGGTTGGTGCTAGACTCCTGGTACTAGACTCCTGGTTCTAGACTCCTGCTGCTAGACTCCTGCTGCTAGACTCATGGTACCAGACTCCTGCGGCTAGGATTGGTTAAAAGCAAAATGAGAACACATTTCACTGTGAGGCTGTGTGCTCTGCATGTGTTAAAGAGGGTTCTATTTCGTCCCTACTGACCACCAGAGGCGGTGCTTTAGCACTGGATATGTCCATCGCACGCATGCACAGTTCGAGTACCTAATAACAACAAAGTCACCTGTGACCCACGTGATTACGGCTACATAGGCCGGCGTCATTAGTGGACCGTTTCCTTTTCATCTTCTCGCTTCGCTTGAGTACCGCGGCTACATTCTTGTAGCCTACAGCGTTCAGGTTTGAACGTTTGATCTGAGGGATTTCTCTGCAAGCAGCTGGCCGGCTGTGCAGAGCCTCGACGGACAGGTGTGTGTCAACTTGTTGCTGGTGATGGCTGTGTCCCCGCACCCTCTCCCAGCTAAGTTGTCCTGATTGCTGTCTTATTTATTGTTTGGCTTAGACTTTCTGGTGACGACAGTGTTCCCGCTTCCTCTCCCATAAAGTTGCTCTTATTATGCTCTTTTGAAAGTTCTGCTTGTGGCGTTGTGCCCGAGGTATCATTAGCATTTGAGTCCCAGCTTTAGCTGCGTCTCTCATTCAATTATGTATGGAAAGCCCAGTGTGCCATATTTTGCCCGTTTTTTGTTTAGATGCAGAGAGTAAGGTAAGTACTGGTCATAGTTACTACTGTAACTATGGTCCTAGGCCATGTAAGCACTGTCCATGGTTACTACTGTGACCATGGCCTACGGTTTTATGCGGGCTGTTCTATTCCATAGAAGCTAATTATCTGGTCTTAACATTTGTGTTTTGACTTGGTTGCTTGATTGTTAGCAGCAGCCGCTTGGCTAACACCTTGCATGTACTGTTAAGCTTCACTATTTAACTCAGCCTGTGAGGGCAGTGATCTCGCTCCCGCTCCTGGCAACGTATGGTTTTGATTGCAGCACTATATCGTTGTATTTACTGCTCCTAGTACTAGACTCTAGCACTAGGATGATATGCAGAGAACAATCTCCACTGTGTGTGATGTGTGCTCTGCTTGTGTGGCCATTAAAGAGGATTTCATCCTCCCAATATTATATAATCTAGTGTGTAGAACGAAATCTAAAATGTAAATTGTAAATAAGCAATCTGTATGTAAAAAACCACCTGTATGTAAATTGTAAATAAGCCATCTGTATGTCAAATATGTCTTATATGTCTTATATGATATGATGAATTGGAAATGGGGGACCCTGATGTAAACAAGACGAAAGTCTTTCTCTGGTCTGCATCCCCTTAACAATTGTATGTTTTGAGCTGTACTGTACTGTACCCAATATACAAGCTGTTAATACACTTTTCAATCAATCAATCAATCAAGCAGCCGTTTGGCTGACACTTTTAGGCACCGGCCACAGTTACTACTGTAACTACGGTTCTAAGCCGTGTAAGTACTGGCCATAATTACTACTGTAACTACGGTTCTAAGCCGTGTGAGTACTGGCCATAGTTACTACTGTAACTACAGCTCTATGCTGTGTAAGTACTGGCCATAGTTACTACTGTAACTACGGTTCTAAGCCGTGTAAGTACTGGCCATAGTTACTACTGTAACTACGGTTCTAAGCTGTGTAAGTACTGGCCGTAGTTACTACTGTAACTACGGTTCTATGCTGTGTAAGTTCTGGCCATAGTTACTACTGTAACTACGGTTCTAAGCCGTGTAAGCACTGGACATGGTTACTGTTGTAACTACGGCTCTGTGCTGTTCTCTTCTTTAGAAGCTAGTTATCTGGTCTTAAACATTTATGTTTGACTTGATCTCGCTTGATTGTTAGCAGCAGCCGCTTGGCTAACGTCTTGCGTGTACTGTTAAGCTTCATTATTAACTCAGCTGGTGAAGGCAGTGCTCTCGCT